GCCGCTCCCACACTCTCTTCTCCTTCTTTTTTCCTAGTCTCTCACACCGAAAGCGATCATGGCGAAGCCGAAACTGCCAACGGTGAAACGGAGGCTGAAGCGGGTTGCCGTGCTGCTGATTCTCTTCATTGCGGTCACGAATCTTCTGTACCTCAGGTTCGACACCGCTGCCGATGATGGCGCACCGGGACCCAACAATCCCCACCACTCGCAAGCCGACGCAGCGGACGACGCAGCACTTGCTTACATCCCACGCAGTGTTGTGGACACGTGGAGCCGGCGGGAGTATCTGGTTGTGCTGGGCATTCCCTCCACGGACAACGAAGAGAGGCGAACACGACGCAACCTGCAGCGAACGACGTGCTGGCGGTTCCCCGGGGTGGCGACGAGGGCGAACGACTTCACCGGAGCGATGCTCGTGCTGTACGTCCTTGGGCGGCACCCGTCGCACGGCTACGACTACTCTGCCGCGATGCTGGAGGAGGCGGCGCAGTGGAACGACGTGGTTGCGCTGCCAATGAAAGAGGGCCGTTTGACGACTAACAAAACAGTTGGTTCCTACGGCTCTTGGGGTGCGGAAGCGGATGTCGGTATGACCCGCAAGACGTACATGTGGTTTGACCTTGCGGTCCGCTTGTTCCCTTCCGCGCGTTACATTACAAAGGGTGATGATGATATATTCCTCCGTGTGCCGCTATTCGTTGGTAACCTGCGCCTTCTGCCGCGCCGAGGGGTCTACATGGGGGTCCACGTTGGCACCTCCAGTTTTGGGAACATGGGCTTACCAGGTTACACGTTTATGGCTGGCTGGTGCTACACCTTGTCGAGGGATGTGGCGGAGGCGTTGGCGTCGTGCAAGCCGCTGCGGCGCCTGGCGTACCTGCCGTACAGCAAGGAACGTGATCACGAGTTTTTACTGCTCCAGTTTCATGGGGAAGATTCTATGGTCGGGTATGTTCTTGAGAATGAAGTGAAGTACCACCCGTTGGTATACGTCAAGGTGCTGCCCTGTCACTTCCTTGACGCCCGCAATGAGACAGGACACTCGCAGGTGGTGCCGAGCATGATGTGCGCCCATCACGTACGGGAGGAGGACTACGCCGCTCTCATGGCGCGCTTCGGTAACGACACATCGCCTGTTGCCCGTGTGGAACGGATCTCGGAGGACACGATATACCCTATTTGTGATTGAAAAAAAGAAGGATTTTTTTTGTGTGTTTGTGTTTGTTCCTGTGCGTGTTAACTCCGGATGTATTGCTTGATTGTTTGCTGCATCCCGATTCGTGCCCTATGTACTCTGTGGCCGAACAACTTGGGATGTGTCATTGGCCGCCCCGTGCCCCCGTGGGGCGTTCCACTCCCTGCCCTCGACCCGCGTGCGGGAGGCGGTGGTAGAGCCGGTGGGCGCCCGTTGCGTTGTGCTGCGAGTGTGCTCCTGCTGGGAGCATGTGGAGAGGATGTGCGTGTGTGGGTTGGGCCGTCAATGGAAGATGTATGTGAGTCTGTGTTCTTTTTATACATTTAATTCTGTTAATTGTGCAATTGGGAAATGGACAGATTCAACATTTTCTGTAGTTCTGTGTGTATGTGTTGCTTGTTTCGTATTTTCCACGCCTGAGCCTTCACCTCGTGGTGAGTGGTTGCGTTGTAGAGACGCTGGAGATGTATTTTCGTCTGTGTGTGATGTTCTTGTGAACGGAGCGTCCCACGGTGCGACCGCTGTCAGTGCCGGTGGTGTGGCTCCCGGTGTGAGAGATTGCGTGCCGTGACGCTCCACCCGCCGCTGACCTGCCCAGTGGGCGGGGCAATGCCAATGGTACATGGCCCCTGCTTGTTGACGACGCAGCCTTTTTTTTTTCTGCTTGTTTTCTCCTGTAGCAGTGTGCAGAGGGTAGAGGCGGCGCAGCCGTGCGTGCGGCGTGGGCGGACGGGAAGCAGACGGCTGGTGAATCTGCTGGTGGGCGGCGGACTACGGCAGCCCAATCCATTCCACCACCTCCCATCAATACCCACAGGCGTCGCACCGCACCGCCGACGCTTCATCAGATCCTTCAAATCGCCCGACGCAATCGTCGGGAAGGGCGATGGAGCTTATCCGCCAACGACGCTCGACTGTGGTATGGCGAAGCACCGGCATCCCCGCTTTGGGCAAGTTATATGAGGAGAGCGAACGAGGCGGCTCGAGAAATGTGTGCGCCGTCAGCATGGTAGCAGAGAAGGCCTCTAGCGGAGCAATTCACAACCTTATGCCGCAAGCACGAACAGCCGATCAACGAGGAGGGCTGCGCGGCCTTTTGGCGGCAATATTAGATGCGGCGCCATAGTCCAGAGTGCGGCACGCAAGGATGCTGCGGTCCGTGTTGCAAATGGATCGAACCCCGCCGGACATGGTGATTCTGGGGTTACAAAAGATTGCGGCGCGATTGGAGAAGAAGCAGGCGCGCCCCTTGAAAAAGGAATGGGCGGATGGATATATCCGCAGCCGGACTGACTGGAAGCAACGTGTTGTTTTTCGACCTGCGTGGATAACGGCGAGTTGTCGTTCCGAGATTGCAGCCTTAACTCCCAACAATTTCACGCTGGAGCCGGACGGGACCATAATTTTGGATTGGTCAGTGGCGTCAAGGACGGCGAGAGCGGATCCCCGCCGAGCTTTGCGGTTCGTCAGGATACGAGGGCAGGACGCGTTCGACACTATAACGTTATGCAGGACACTTCGAGAAAACGAAGGCTTACGAATCTTACGACTGCTCACGTGGAGCGATCTCTGGTTCCTTGGAATGCCACAGCGCACTCCACAAAACAGGGTGCGTTGAGGCACGCAGCTCAAATCGGGAGACA